CGCAAACTAACAGCCACGGGCAAGAATACTTGCTCTTGATAAAAACTACTCCTGAATTATTCGTAGGCGAGGCAGCACTGACACACGATAAAGGCCGCTGGTTCACGATGGCTGTAAACACTAGAGAAGAGCCAGTAGAAATCGAGATCCTTCCGCAAAACGTCGTACCTGTTGATTTAGATGATTCAGAAAATTTTCTTGACTCAGATTTTAGTGATGTTCCCAACATTAGAACAGAGGGAAGAATTGAATATATCATGGAAAAACATTGCCGGCAGCATCATGATAAGACAAGCTATAAACAACTTTACCGAATAGTAAAAGAGTATTTACATCTATTTTACATCAAAGGTGATACTGCTCCACTTATGTTGTATGTACAACATAAAATACTAATAACTGACGATAAACCTGTTTTTTCTAAACAATATAGATAACCTCCTGCTCTACATAAGAAAGTTAGAGATCAGATCGATGAGTTGCTACAAGAAGGAACCATTAACTATTCTTCTAGCCCGTACAATAGTCCGCTGAAGATTGTCCCCAAAAAACTAGGACCCAACGGAGAAAAGAGACATTGTCTTGTAATAGATTACAGAAAATTTAGCGCTCAAACTATCCCTGATTCTTACCCATTGCCTAATATTAAAGAGATATTAGAGCAAATTGGCGGGTCAAAGTTTTTTTCAGTATTTGACCTAGCTTATCGATTTCATCATATTAAAGTATCTCTAGAAGGTTGTAATTAAACAGCTTTTAGTACTCTGTACGGACATTGCGAGTATACAGGTATCCCATTTGGATTATGCAATGCACCGGCTACATTCCAAAGACTTATGGATTCTGTATTATTGGAATTGCAAGGCACAGAACTATTTATATTTTTAGATGATATTATAAAATGCGCCAAAACTTTAGAAAAACATGGAGTAAAAGTAAGAAAATTATTTAGTTGACTATCAGATGCTGGTTTAAAATTACAGCTAGATAAATCCGAATTTCTAACTCCTGAAGTATCATATTAAGGAAATAAAATAGGTGGTTATGGAGTAAACCCCGATTCCGAGAGACTTGAAGCAGTTAAAAAAGAGACATTGTCTCGTAATAGATTACAGAAAATTAAACACTATAACTATCCCTGTTGCTTACTCTCCAGAGTCTCTCCAGAAGATCGCCATAAAACAGCTTTCTGTACTCCCTACGAACATTCCGAGTATACAGGTATGCCATTTGTATAATAAAAGCATTGTAAGTAAAAGTAAGAAAATTATTTAATAGACTATCAGATGCTAGTTTAAAATAACAGCCAGATAAATGCAAATTTTTAACTCCTGAAGTAACATATTTATGACAGAAAGTAGGTGGTTAAGGAGTGGAACCCGATCCCAAGAAATTTGAAAAGTTAAAAATTTTTTAACACCAACAAATTGTACGAAAGTACGAGAATTTTTTAGAACATACAGGATATTATAGATGATTCATTAAAAATTATGCTGAAATTGCAGAGCCTTTAACTCTATTATTACAGAAAAATTAAAAATTTGATTGGACCAAGACTCAGGAAAAGAGCTTCGAAAGATTAAAATCAACCCTGTGTGAGGCTGCGGTACTTGCATGTGTCGATCTCGACAAACCATTTATTCTAATTTCCGACGCATCTAACTAAGCTCTTGCTGTTTTAAGTCGAAGAGAACCAGGAGAAGATCGTCCTGTAGCCTACATGTCTCGCATTCTTAATAAATGTGAAAGAAATTACTCCACTACGGAAAAAGAGTGTTTAGCAGTAATAGCCGCCGTCCAATATACAGACGAAAATTTATAGTTTACGAAGACCACGAACCTTTGACATGGATCGAATCAATAAAAGACCCCATGAGTTGCCTTAATCGTTGGAGAGTAAGACTCCGCGAGTACAATCACATGTATCAGTAAAAACCCGGACGTTTAAATTCAAATGCTGACGCTTTATTGCGTAACCCTGCAGACTCTTATGAAATAAATACCTTTAAAGTTGATATACATTTTAAGGGAAGGCGTAAAAATGTCAGAAAAACTTCAACATCCAGCAGTAACAGAAGCAGTAGTCACTCCAACAGTTCAAGCTCTGACAGTGAGTCTAGTAATTATAAAACATTACAGTCCTTCATATTTCATGTACTTTATGTTAAGACTCATGTGCTTCACAGTTAAAACTACAAAATAAAATTTTGCAAGGTAAACAGAAAAAAATTTTGACTAATGAAAACTCGAATTTATTTGGAGTCTTAAAGTTGTAAGGCCGTCATGCTTGTAGACTAGTAATTTTGACTTATCTTAGCTAGGATTCCATACAATACGAGTCAAGACCACGAAAAGTATGGGCAAGGTTAGATAGTTGCAATAATCACCTTAAAAATGGTAGTGCTACAGTTTGGTGCTAAATAGACTGTGCTGCGTCAAGAGTAAGGAAGCCACAGCTCGAAATTTGGCACTTTAGAGGTGAAAATTCGAGCTAGCAACAGGATGTGACAGTGCCAACTAAGTATATAGTACTCTTGCTATCTTAAAATTTTTCCTCTGAAGTGCCCAACTCCCAGCTGTGGAGTGTCCACTTTTAAAATAGTAGAGTACATTTAGCGCTGAACTGTATCACTTTTAAGGTGAACGCTGTGATTGTCCTATCTTGTGCATGCAGAAAAATTCTTAACCCTTATCAGTTTGTCTGTGGAGGAAAAGATCTTCTATTGTAACTACCAAGTGACCACAGAAGCCAAGTTATTTAAGCTGTAGATTTTTGTAGCTCAGAAGCTTGGTAACACATGCTTATAAGTTCGAGATCTGGCTTTTGCTAGCTCGACTCGATTGTCTAAAGAATTAATTTCTGTATTTAAAGGCGCTAACACCGTCTAGTTGTACTTCAGACAAACTTGTATATGTAATTACAAATCAGTATCTTAGTTAGTTTTTGAAAGGCAGGATTTTTATAAAGGCCACTTTACAGTTTTCACGAAAATGGAGGTTTTGAAAAGAACGAACAGTGATTATACGCCATCGTAAAAGCTAAATGCCTTAAAAAATTAAGAAAAAAATGGACAGCACTTGAAAAAACTCTGCCTCTTCATATTTGATAATTAAAAGGTGAGTTGCAGAGTTCAAAGTGGGGCGTAAAAGCATAAGTAATAAGCTTCAATCTGGACGCATCGTAGAAGTGAAAACTCCTGGAATGAATAAAAAAATTCATAGTACAGTACTGCAACATTATAGATTAAAGATTATTTGTCGTTTATAAGGTTTGTTTCAGGTGAATGATGCGTTTGTTATCACCTGATCAAAAATTGCATAGAAAAATTGTTTCCATGAAGAATTAAAAACCTTACTGTAAAAATCCTAGTAATTGTTTGAGATGGCTTGTTACGGTTTCTATAGTAGATAAAATGTATGGACGAATTGTTATTTCGTCTTATTTAACTATTTTTCTTTTTTTTTATGGAAAAATGGCATCGCTAGTATCACTATAAAAAAATCTCCATTTACCGACTAGGTTGTAGTAGTTTACTCAACAGTATAACAGTTATTGTGGCTAACACTTTGATACATTATTACCTTCGAAGTATCAAATAAAAGTCGAAACAGCGGACTATGCCAGGAGAACCAACTCCAAAAACAGGTAATTCAATGTTGTCTGCCAACAAGGTTACGGCGAATGTTTTTTAGGAATTACAGGAAATTATTTTTAACTGAGTACTTCGAAAAAGTGAAAGTATTTCTGGTGGTCACTACGTGAGCTTACTGCAATGTATAAGTGATAAGGTAAATTAAAAAATACTTTATTAAGCAAAAAAATCTTGCTCTGTTATGCCAATGCTCCAGCCTATTATTAAGCCATAGCAGTCAGAAAACATTTATAAATAAGAGTATGAATCGCTTGAATATTCATCCTGTTTTCAAAGAATAGTACTCAGTGACTACCGTCTATTGCTTAATCTCAAAAAATTTTTTGGAGGACGAAGATTGCACAGTAAAAAGGATGTCGTTGATGTGGTAAACATTACTAGAATTAATTACAAAACTGTTATAGCAAGAAAAAAGCTTTCCTTGAAATTACGTCAATTTAGGGACTTATCAGCTGGCTCTCATACGTAGAAAACCCAAAGTGTATAAATATTTAATCAAGACTTACGTTGTTATGAGTTGTCTTGAATTAAATCATCATTTTTCATTCTGGATTCTTGAGCATTTTTTTTGTCCACTGATAGTTTTTTGATAAAATAATTTAGATTTTTAATTTTTGTATTCATCACATTTTTGTCTACGGCTGGGAAATACTTAAAGAAATTTGAAGGAGCAGTGTCAACGTAAGCTGGAGCAACAGTTATACCTCTGGTACAAAGTGAATAGTGAGCCGTATCAGTACACTAGCTTTGATCCTATAGCTCCTAGCTCATGTACTTATTCGGTTGAGTATCTGTTAGTTGGGGTATACTTACTGTACTAAATTTTTTTTCATGTAGCTACTTTAAACATCAATAATTTTGTTGTAAGGTCTTCTTGACTATGCCTAAATTTTTTTTTTTAGAAAATTTGCAAGTAGTTGTGTTGGAATGTTTGGATTGTCTAAACTTGGATGCTTTTTAACTCTTATCTAATATGCTTGGATAAATTTTTAAATATCTTATACAAAATCTTTCTTCATAAAAGGTAGAATGATTAAAAGTGCTGAAGCATTTTTTTTTGCAGTATTCTGTGAAATTATATAAAATATTAACTACCACTTCAATTTCTTATAGTAGCTGTTTAGGCAACTTACACTTGACAAACACATGTAATTTTAATATAAGAAAATAGTTCACTAATAAAAACTTAGTTAAGTTCTCTTAGTAATTAATATTATCCTAAAAACGGCTAAAATTTAAGTGAAAAAAAAAAAATCACGAAATCAGTAGAAGTAAGAGATCTTAAAAATCATTTTCGCCTAGAAAGTTCAAAGTACCTAACTATTAAGCATTTTTTTTCATTCTTAGTAGCGTTCTTTTGGCACCCCAGCGGCAGGTTGCAATGATATCTGAAATGATACATAGTGCATCCTTGGTGCACGATGATGTAATTGATCAATCAGACTTTCGTCGAGGTAAGCCTTCCATAAATGCGCTCTGGAATCAAAAAAAGGTAAGAGTTTTATAAATTGTTACATGACTAGCTACATACAAATTAAATTTTGAAGTGATATTGGGTATTATAAAGAAATTGTATTTCCTGCTAGTATATTATAATAATCGATAATTTTTTTTGCTTCTAGTTTTTATCCTATGTCTTGAAAATCTGTTGAACATTGTAAAAGTCTCTCGTGGGATAACAAAATTTTAAAGAAAAATAGTCGTTCGTAAATTTTAGTGATATTGGAGAAGTAATCAGCAGAAGTTCGAGTGGCTACTGATTGTTCGATGGCCCATTTGTTTTAAAACAACATTAAAATACTACAGTATATAAAAAATAAACGTTCATGTAAGAAAAATTTATTCAAAAGGGCCTGTAGCTCGAGAATTTCAAATTAAAAGCTACTCATTTTTCTATCCTAATAACTTCACTTTTTTGATTATATGCAGACTTATACTGAAAATTATTCATTCGGTTTACCTATTCCTTGTTTAGGACGTCTTAACAACTCAATTATTCAGTATCTACCTGTACACTGCAGTAAAAATACTTTTAAAGGGAACCTTCTTACTTTTAAACTAGTTCCTGTTATTAACTGATGAACCCTACCTACAGTGTAGTCATTGTATCAACTATGCTAACTTCTACGTATAAATCTTGTTAAAAAATGGTAATCTATTCTAATAGTTGAGTATTTAAAATATTCTATATTCTTTATACTCTTGTTATAACTAATAGTAAGACCTATGCTTTGCCGACTCTATTTATCGCTGATTTGAGCGTGCGTGGTATTATACAAGGTACCATGGAATATTCTTGTGTCTTTGTCTTTTTACTATGTCATTAAGTCCTTGGCTCGCTAATAAATAAATAAATAAGGATTTATGAAAAACAAGTGTTTGTGTTGGAAATTTTCAATCTATATGGCTTTTTTAATGAAGACTGTTTATGTTTCTTAGCTTAAATCTTTTTTTTGTTGTATACCGAAGTATTTAAACTTTATTATAATTCATAAAATTGATGTAAGCTCTTACGTTCTATCAGCTTACATTATTTTTGAGTGAAAAAATGCATGCTTTAAAAGTTCTAAGCGAAAAAGTGGTATTTTTTAAATTTTTGCTTGCGTGAATAAATTTTTACCGTAAAAATAAAATAAAAAAATTAGACAATATTTTTTTCCGAAAGGACGTATAAAGATAAAAATTTTGTCTTATAAAAAGTTTGTTTCAGACCTTTTACAGTAAAAATCTAATTATATCAAATCCAAACATCTTGCTCCTTTGTCATAATCAATAAAATAAATTACACATAATATACTTGTGATATAGAGCATGACTTTATTTTGTACATTTCGTCAATATTTCGTTTTCATTCTGAAAACCTCTCCAGGACACTATAAAAAAATGTATAATCAAAACAAGAATGATTTAAATGTTACAATAAGCAATAAAGGTTACATGTGCAGCTGCCAAAATAACATGTCAAATAGACAAAAGAGCGCTACTTAATATTTACATAACTTAAACAATAAATGAACAGCAATCAAAAAAATAAACTATTGCATAATATCAATAAAACATGAGTGCGCATACGAAAATACAATTATAAGAGTTGAACACATAAATGCAAAAGGCTATAGACTACATGTCTTCTGGCATAGATCAACGAGACCATGTTGATTGGAGAGCAACAGTTACAAGCATGGGATATGAACACATATGAGTGCCAATGTGTAAGATCTGTTATACATTATAAAAACATATGAAACGTGTAAAGATTTTGTAAAAACATATTAATGTTGAGGTTTTTTTAAAATTTTGTGTCTTATGTCTAACAAAAACTTTTTATATAAATAGTTTAACTTGTTGGTATCTAACTGTCTATTGATTGTGTTCTTATGTAAAGTGATGAACAACATTTCAGCAAATTTACGCTTGTACCTGTTAGCCTCCTGATCAAAGCCACCAGACCTTAAAAATCCAAACTCTGTGAACACTCAGAGGAGTGCATAAACAAAGCTGACTTAGTGTCCTTATTTCTGATATACCTTACCTACTGATGGTAAATATTAAGTAGCGCTCTTTTGTCTATTTGACATGTTATTTTGGCAGCTGCACATGTAAACTTTATTGCTTATTGTAACATTTGAACCATTCTTGTTTTGATTATACATTTTTTTCTAGTGTCCTGAAGAGGTTTTCAGAATGAAAACGAAATATTGACGATATGTACAAAATAAAATTATGCTCTATATCACAAGTATATTATGTGTAATTTATTTTATTAAAAATCTAATTGTTTAACTTTCAGAAATTACATAAAAATCTTTTTTTTAAGTGCCCCGACTAACTATTGCCCCTTACTCTATGTTACCTGAAATATTCGTACTATATGTGTATAAAACATACATTCTGTTGGTCTTAACGCCAATCTCATGAATCTCACTTCATTGACAGATACACAAGTTTTAATAAATTATATTGTAGGGACAATAATAATAGGAATCGAATAATAATTATAAAAATTTTGAAAAATTTTCAAATTACTTACGTCCGTATACTTACGAAAATTGTAACAGACTTTTGGTCAACTTAAACCCATATCGTAAGTGTCGAACATATGCTCATTATTTTATGTAAGACACAAATGTACGCTTGTCATGAATATAGATAATCAACATAACTGCAATCAAGAATTAAAGAAGACTGCTTGTACAAATATATGTATATATAGTGTAAAAATAAGGTGTCTTCTTTTCTACTAATTGTGTGTTTAGTAGAGTTTATGTATAAGATTTCACACATTAATTTTTTTTGTCTATTTGGTTCTTGGTTAAAAATCTTAGTTTGAGAGAAATTATTAATTATGTATAGAAATGTGCGTATATGGGTGTGTGTACTGTCTACTGTGTTAATGTGTACTAGAGTAATTAAAGAACTGTAATTTTGCATTCATTACAGATCAATACAGATAGCTAATGAGATAGTTCTTATAATATGGAACAATCTCCAAATAATAAATAAAAAATATACCGTATTTTTAAAAGAAGACATGATGACCAAAAAACACGATTTTTACAGATTTTCTGAAGGGAAAAAAAAATATCGTGGCGCTAAAAAAAGGCGTTGCGTTATGTGAAGACATAACCTTAAATTTCAGTGTTTTGCACATTTCTCTATGAAATTAAAGTAGAAAGTCTTAAAAAAAGTTATAACATACTTGCAGGACAGCATATTTGCTTAAACATGACCTTAAAAATAATTTAAAAAATGCAAGACTTTCAATAAGCAATTTAATTTTCAAAGAGCATTATGTCAGTGCACTTGAAATAATATTGGATCTTCATTGTCACAATCTAAGTACCATCCACTATGCGTGCATTTCAAGTGGTGCCACTGAGTGAGAGCAATTGTCTCTTGGTGTGATCGCCAGTATGCATTGAGCCTTACAGGAAATTTTTTTAATCAATTCAAAAAACGATTATTGAAAGTCAATTGAGTAAATTTTTACTTATCCTACGATACTGGAAAAAATACAAAATGGATTGCGAATATGTGTATACGTGTTAATGTATGTGTGTACATTAATATTATGAAAACAGATTATTTTTCATTGCAAAAGTATAGATTAAAGGCCATTTATGGCATTAAAATATACATTACCACATGAAGAATACCACAGAGTTAAATAAAATTATTTTGTCATTTATCGGGGGTCTAAAAACCCACACTTTCTTTTTAAATTTTTTTTTTGCAAAATAAAAAACAACGTAGATTTTATTGAGCCTATAAACTTCGTTCTTGCCTAGAATAATGACATTATATCGTTTCCTCATCATAATAGGATAAGATTATAATTTTAATTTTTTGAGTAGAACATAAGAATATTGGATTATAAGGAGTAAAAATGCTCATTTTAGTAAGTAAATTGTCATTTATTAAATTTGTATTGTTAATAGTATTAGAATTTTTTGTGTTGTTAATTTTTTTAAATAATTTTTTTCGTGTAAAAGGTTGTGTACAGCCATTATAAAATAAAATTCTTGTAGCCATTCAAATTTTATGTTTATTTAAGGATTTATCGGACCAAAGAATAGCTAGATCAACCAAATTGTAAGCGGCGGCGTTAACTTTCCAAGACGTGGATTGTCGAAGGAAATTAGATAAAAAGTCATTGCGTTACATCATAATAATGAATTAGTCCGAAGTTTTATTGAAAGCATATATGAGAACAATTGAATTAAAGAACAGATTATTAATCGTACATATAAGAAAAATTCATATTTATACTAAAATTGTCTAACTATAGCTTGCATAAGATTAGCAACATCAAAAAAAAAAAAGTTCCACAATTTAAAAAGATTATGAATTGTGCAGCTTTAGGATTCAAATTTGTTTTGAAAACACAGTTTTTATATGAAGGTAAAATTATTTGAATAATTTAAAATGTAAAATATAGTTTGCAAAAAAGTAGCGATATTTATAGTGAAACCAAAAATAAAATGAGGACAAAATCGCACATGCTATAAAAATGTGTAATAATACATAGTTACAACTTGATAAAATGGAACGGACAAATATTGAAGATTTCAAATGTACAGAAAACGTTCCTTAAAAAGAATAAAGATATTACGTCAACTTGTTCAAATCAATAAAATTTTACAGATGACCTTATTAGAAATTTAAATGTACAGAATATAAAATTACTGTTCAGTGACACTACTACATACATAACGAAAAATGAAATGCAGGGGTCGAATTGCGTCCCGTATTGATAAAAAGGGTTGGATTGCGTCCCAACCATCTTCTCTTATGGTCGAGTTGCGTCCCGACCATTTTATCTTATGGTCAAATTGCGTCTCGGAAATTTTATCGCACATCTTATGGTCAAATTGCGTCTCGAAAATTTTATCGCACATTAATTTTCCCATTTGGAAAATAACGTTAAACTGTGTAACGTACTAGATTGACTGTATGAAGTAAATTCGGTGAAATACAATAATTTTTCCCGTC